TCTAAAATATCCTTTGAAATCAGCCCCTTTTCCAAAAGAGTTCTGACTTCTGGCTCCAAAATAGAGTGCACATGCTTTTTTTGATGGCTCATTGTGTCCCTCCCTGTTGGCGGGACTTTACGCTGCTTGCATGTTTAGTGCAAATCCTATTAAATATTTATATGGGTAGAATAATGGAAGCATTCAAAATGGTAAAAATCCTTCTTGTTGAAGACAATGAAATGAACCGTGATATGCTCTCTAGACGCCTTATTCGCAAAGGACATGAAATTTTAACCACAATTGACGGTGAAGAGGGTGTCCGTATGACAGAAGAGGTAAAGCCAGACCTGGTTTTGATGGATGTGAGCCTTCCTATCATTGACGGTCTCGAGGCAACACGACGCATCAGAAATCATGCCAATGATGATATCGCAAAGACACCTGTCATTGCTTTAACCGCACACGCCATGGAAGAAGATCGAAAAAAAGCTTTAGATGCAGGGTGCAATGACTTTGACACAAAACCCGTAGATTTGCCCCGCCTTCTCGACAAAATTCAAGGACTCTTGGCGTAAATAATGCCTGAAACTTACGAAAACATATTTCAGTCGCTAACAGGCCTCTTAGAAAAAGCTCTTGATCAAGTTGCCAATATTCAGTGTCTAGAGCGCCTTCCCCCGGATTTTCTTGAAGATGCTTCAAAAATTCAAGTCGCCTGTCAAAAGCTTCTTTCTTTAATAGAAAAGCATAAAAAAGCCCCAACACAACACCCAAAGGGTGAAAAATTTTGGTCAAAAGCACGACATGACTTGCGCGGAGCCATCGGCACAATTCGTGGCTACACAGATCTCTCTTTAGACATGTTAGAAGATGAGGACCTCCTAGACTCCTATCATGTACCTTACCAAACGCTTTGTGCAATCACAGAAGACATGCTTGCCCTTATGGACCGTATGCAAGAGTATAGTTCAGGGGCTTCTTCTCAAGTTTCTGAAAGCGAGTTAAAAGAAGCTCAAGAAAAATATAATGCAACTGAGCCTAAAACAATCCTAGTCATTGATGATGACACGTTTAAATTAGACCTTCTCAGCCGCCACCTTCACCGAATTGGACACCATGTCATCCTTTCAGAATCTGGGGAACAAGGTCTCAAGATTCTTTCCGAAAAAGCCGAAGAAATTGATCTCATCCTTCTAGACATGTTGATGCCCGGGATGAATGGTTATGAAGTTTTGGAGCATTTAAAAAACAGTAAGAGAACAAACAACATTCCCGTTTTAATTATTTCCTCTGTAGGAGACATAGAAAGTATTTCTAAGTGTATCGAGGCAGGAGCAGAAGATTATCTTCCTATTCCATTTAATCTTACCCTTTTGTATGCCCGTGTTAAGTCTTGCCTAGATAAAAAGTCTTTACAAGATAAGATTGAAAAAACACGCCTACAATTAGATGCTGCATTACAAAGTATGGAAGAAGGTTTTGCTGTTTTTGATAAAGAAGATCGCTTCATCCTTGCTAATTCAAGATTTTGCCGGCTTTATAGTATCTCTGCAGAACAAGTATCCCGAAAGTTTTCCTATCGTTCTTGGCTAGAAAATAATTTTAATAAACATCTATACTTAGAACACAAACGAGATAAAGAAAACAAAACACTAAAAGCCCAACGTTTAGAAAAACGCCTTCAACAACACATAAGTCGCAAAAGCCCCGTTATTGACCGCCTCTATGATGGACGATGGATCGAGGTTATTGAAAGTCCGACTCCCGATGGTGGGACCGTCACCATACACAAAGATATTACCCTCCAAAAGTCCCAAGAAGAAAATTTAGCATATCGTGCTACTCACGACCAACTCACAGGGCTTTATAATAGAGCAGCATTTGAATAGGCTTTAGAACTTTCTTTAAAAAACGCAAAGAAAGAAAAAGGGCAGTTTGCCCTTTTATACTTAGACTTAGACGAATTTAAAGCAATCAATGATACCTTTGGTCACGACTTTGGAGATGAAGTTCTGATTCATGTCTCCCGTAAAATAGAACAGTGTCTCCGCAATAAAGATATCAAGGCTCGATTAGGGGGCGATGAGTTCGCCGCAATTTTACACAATACTGAAAGTTCTACCATTACAGAAACACTCGCCAAGCGTCTGCTAGGCGCTGTAGGCGATTCCATTAACCACAAGGGACAAAAAGCAAAATTTGGGTAAGCATTGGAATCGCGTGCTACCCAAATGATGGCCTAGACGAAGGCACTCTTATTAAACGCGCTGATGAAGCAATGTATCGCGCAAAAAAGCAGGAAAGCATTCTTTCCGTCTCGCCAGCGGCGAGTAAAAAAGTTCTTAAGTCTCTTTGTTTTTTGGAAAACGATAAAGCGCCACATAAAATTGTCCCGACTGTACTATAATACTGGCTTCCCCAAACTCTTCCTTGATGTAACTCTATACGTCTCTTTAGAAAAAATAAAAAAGCCACGGGACCCCCATCCCGTGACTTTTGAAGACCTCTATTGGTAGAATACTAACCAAATAACTTCTTCCAAAAACCTCTTTTTTCTTCCTTAGGATTTTCGGAAACATCGCAAGTAGTCGAATCAGAAAGCTCTGGATATAAATCAACCTTACCTAAAATAGAATAATACTTTCTGGTCTTTCTCATTGGATAATTATTGAGATGGTGCCCTAAAATTGCCGTAATTTCATCATCGGGAGAAAGAGATTCTGCATACTTTAATGCTTCTTCACGCGTTCCCTTATAACCAACAATAAGCTGAACAGCTTTTGGACGAGGAAAATTTTTATTCCCAGAATCTCTAGCATAAACCTCCAGTAATTGAAGTCCGTGAGGCTCCATATCTCTTTGCATCTGTTCAAAATAACCAGGTGTGGTTGCAGATACCTGACCAGGCCAACGTTCATAAATAAACAGTCCCCCATTTTTTAAAGTCTTAGAGGCTGATAAAAGATTAGGATCCAAAGTCCTTGCACCTTCTGGCCATTGTTCGTGCGCTTTGGGATTTGCTTCTAC